TGTGTGTGTGTGTGTGTGTGTGTGTGTGTGTGTGTGTGTGTGTGTGTGTGGCTGGTGGGGAATTTTTTTAATTTCCACCCCTGGTTGTAATATTATAAATGTAATATTTGTTGTCTGTCATTGTAGCTGGGATAATTTTACTTATTGAAGCTCATAATCTTACCACTTGAAACATCACTAGCCCTGAAGCTGCTGGTAGACATCGCGGTTGGAATTATCAAAGGTTTTTGACACCTGAGAGACACCGTAGCAACTCCTTTACGTTTGGAAGCGGAGGGTGGGGGGGACCAGGGAGGATGATACAACCACTCAACCACTAGATGTGGCTGAAAAAAACAAATCCTACACACTGTGCCTTTAAGGATATAACAAACAAGATTATCACTGTGGTGGTGGAATCCAAATCGCTATTGTCATTGTTGAGATCATATTGATCAGCACATTTATGTTACAACAAAAAGGTTCAGTATTTAAGCACTGACATATATCAATAAAAGCCTGCTGCCTAGCTTAACTATTATTGAGTTTTTGCCACATATTCTTGATACTGGCCTTAWTTGAGAAATTTAGCATATTTATTAGAATGTTTGATGAGCAAAAAAGGCAAAGCATTAAACCCCATTTAACGGTTCTAAAATATACATTATATTAACGGCATCATGACATTGTTTTCCYTTCACAAAAAAGAATGTTCCTGCAGCAACWCCAAGAAGTCCAAGAATCAGRCCAAGTCCACAGCAAACAGCTGGACCAGCTGGACYACGGCTCTTCTCATTTGTTTCAACAACTAAAGAGGACAAGAAGAGAAAATTATTCCTGATTTCTGTTGAAACACTCTTCAGTTCACCTTAAATTCTCGTTACATAATATTGTGCTGCTAAGTTTAACAATACGTTTTCTGTTCTCACCCAAAATCCTGGTCTTGGGTTCATCCAGAGCTTCATGTTCCACCGTGCAGCTGTAGGTGTCTCCTTCTTGTGGAACAAAGTTCAGGTAGGAGAAGACGTGAAACACCCCCTCAGAGTTGGAAACAGTTTTGATGAAAGGAGCTTCCACCATCACTTCTTCATCATTCTTAGACCATCTGATGTTGATCACAGGGGGGAAGAAGTCGTAGACGAAGCAGATGAGGGTATTCTCTTCATCGGTTTTCATTTCATCTCTGGAGTAAATCACAACTTCTGGTGGGTCTGACAATTCAAACAGCACATTATTATTAATATTTTTTTTGCCTCATTTTTTAATCAATAAGCTTAAATAGTAACAGTGACAAATGTTTGACAAGTTGAGCTGTTTACCTTTAGTTTTGTGTACTGATGGATCTGGTTTCCATGCATTCATATCATGCTTACACACAGGTCGATAATATTCTGCATAGTAGTAAGACCTATTATTGCGTAAAGATGTCGGCATTCTGCTTTCCCAGATAACACGACTTTGATTAAAATCTGCATAGTAGACTTCATCATCATCCAATGTCACATAGGTTTGTGTGTCACCCGAATYAAAGCATGCAAAGATATGACAAAGTGTGTGATCACCTGGAAAAACACAAATTAATTAAGCATAAAAAACAGCTTGTTCCAATTTAAAACCCATTAACAAATGGACCGGTACACATTTTAGTTCAGATTTAAGCTAATAAGTGCGGCACCTAAACAGAAATAGCTGTACTTACTTTCTGCACAGATGCAAAGTGCTCCAGAGAGAAGAAGTATCATTTTATAGTACATTGTATTCACTTTGTACTCATTTATGTGCTCTGCCATGGCTCCTATGCTTCTTGTTAACATTCAAGGAAATGAAAATACACAGAAGTTACTGATCAGAAAACCCGTCCTCAGTTCTAAATATGTCAAAGTAAAAGAACTGGTTACACAAGTTCTTCAAGACTATTTTGTTCTTTGTGTGAGGGCATTTATCTTTGTTGTACTTACCAAGTACATAGCATTATAAAGATATCATTTTCATACTGTTTATAGTTTTCTAATGTAGAATGAAGAAAACAGTTAAAAAATGTTACTGGCACAAAAATGTGCAACTCAGAGATTGCTGAAATTGAAAAGACACAGAAAGTAAAGTGTTCTGTTCAAGTTAAGCTCCTACAAATTGAGCTACAAACCAGTGAACAGTTTAAAACTTTCCTGTTTCAAATATTTTAAGAGGAGGTGTTATGATTTGTTAAATAATAGAGGTTACAAAATGATAATAACAATAACAGGAATAATAATAATTAGACACAGTAAATTGATAGGTGTTAACAAAACTAAATCTTTAAATAGAATAGAAAAACAAAATGGAATGAAGGTAAACAAAGATGTTAGGTAAAGTTTTACATAAAAAAAGACTAACCAACTGTCACTCAATGTAATTTTGATGCCTTAGAAAGAAGACACTAAATCCATGTGTAGAAATAATGTGTTGTTCAAAATGGTATGTCCGAATAAAACAGGAATCCACTTGATTTCTTCTTAAAACTTTATTCTCAAAACTTCTGACTCCAGTCAGGTTCACAGTACAGCACTCAGCACWGGCCTCAGCATAAGGTCTTGAGCTAAAACCAAAACACAACACAGTAATAATCCGAATGTATCGTCTACTTGGGCACAATCAGATCATGACGAGTGTTTACATGCACCAGGCTTTTATTCAGAACAGAAGCACTGACATTCTCAAAGTTGTAAATTTTAACTAAMAACACACAGAAGAAGCAGTTCTACTTCTGATGAACATAACCATCTTCTGAGCGCTCAGAATGGACCAGCGTGAGGTTTTAATAATGGTGGAGACGTTACTGCACTCCCTGGTTGAGCTACAGGTGATGTGCAGATTTTATTTATTTATTTGTTTATTTATTTATTGATTGATTGATTGATTTTTGGGGGGCAGCGCATGCAGTTTGTCTTCCTTTACTGAACGAGAGAACGGGAGGAAAAGTTCTGTGCTGCTGGAAACTATAGCACTGCTGTCCCTCCCTCTACAAAAGTGCAGAAACCGATGGATGAAAGTCAGCAGACATGCGCAGTCAGACCAGTTTTCCACAATCAGAATAAAATGATCAGATTAAATGTTTACATGCACGCTGTTCGGATTACCAATTGGCATAAACAACCTCCCTCATTACGATTACAAACTTATTTGGATCAAGCTGAATCAGATCAGAATAATCCAAATGGGGTGTTTACATGATGCATTTTTATTATGAATGACCATTTAATCGGATTACTTATGTCCATGTAAACATAGCTATAGCTCTGCAGCCAATCAATACCTTTCAGAAGATATGCAACTTTTGGTGGTGGAGACGTTCTTTGCAGTTTCCAGTCTTTCCTCCGCACCGCACTCACCCAAATCTTCTGTCGCCATGGATCTTTCTGAAAATTAAAAAAGCTTGCAGCTGACCCTGCACCATTCGTGCACACAAAAGCCTATCTTTTATTCCAAAAACAAGGTTATGTRTTTTAAGTGTAATGTTACATAGGCCTACAATATAGTGCACTCCTGGAATAGACAACAAATTTATAGACCCCGTGAATTAACAAGCAGTAAGCGTAAGCGTATGTATGTAAACTGCAATGGAGTCTGAAACCAAAATATGTGTGTCTGGTATGCAGTGGGATCATATACAACAGGAAGTAGGTGCAGAGCTTGATTGTTTGGGCATACAGAAGTCTGCCATTTATTTCCTCTTATGTGAAAATATAAACAGAAACTGTGTTTCTCTGAGTGCCACTCATGAGGAAACATGCTCGCTCCTACGTTCTTCTTCAGTTTGGTTGTCTCTCTCTTCAGTTCAAGTAAGAAGATTTTTTTTGCTAATATAACATGCTATTTTTTGTTGTTCTTATTCATTTCTTTTGATCTGAATTTGCTTTTTTCATCTTTATATAGTTTCCTCAGATGGAGATTTTTACCAGGTCAAAGCATGTTGCCAGTTCAAGGGTCCATTCATGATTAATCCAGAGTACATACTTGTATCTAGTTTTAACAAGCAGGAAATGATGGAGTACAACAGTACAAGAGGCTACTGGATTGGATTCACTTCTTATTCAATAAGAGCTGCAAATATATGGAACGCTGATATCAATGATGCAGAGTCAAGAAGAATTGAGAAAAGTATTTTGTGTGACAACTCTGTACACCTAATCCAAAACCTACGTGAGTGACCTTCTCAAATCTGTTATTTTAATTTAGATTAAATTCATTTTTATTTTACATATATTCAAAAAATTTGTGTTGATTTTAATGTACATTAAATGAGCTTAAAATGTGTTTTGTTTCACAAAAGACACTTGTTTTTATCCAGGATGAACGCATCAGTCTAGTTTCAAAAATAAATCATCAGGAAATCATTCATGTCATCAATGAATTGATTTTAAAACACAAAAAAAGGCAGTGATTTAATATTTTATTTAATTAAAATTTATTGTACTCAAAATTTGCAGTAACAAACAAAAAATGAGTCCTTTAAAATGAGGATGAAAAGTACATGAAATCTTCATTTGGAGGCTTAAGAATTAAGCAAAGCATATGTGATTTACAAGTTACAAAAAACTTATGCATTGTTATCATATTGTATCATTCATAAATATGTATATTTAAAGCAAAACAAAAATATGAAAAAAAAACATTAAACATAATTATTTTTTTCAGGGATGTATACAACAGCCCCCTCCATCACATTAAAAACAGTCATACCATCTGATGGTGAACACCCAGCCATGGTAGTGTGCAGTGCCTACAACTTTTACCCAAAGSAAATCCAGCTGACCTGGTTAAGAAAYGGACAGGAAGTGAGTGAGGGGGTCAGTCACTCAGATGCGWTTGCTGTCGGGGATTTWTACTACCAGATCTATTCACACCTGGAGTACACCCCAGTTTCAGGAGAAATAATCACCTGCATGATCAAACATGTCAGCCTTCCCAAACCAAGACTCGTCAACCTCAGTGAGTTCACCACTGTGATGCAAATTATCCATCCATCTATTGGGCGAAATGAGAGACGGGTTTAAAAAAAATTACAATGAGTTTATATAATCTTTATATCTGCCCACTGTTCTAGATGATTCTCTTTCTGTAGATGAAAAAGTTCAGATTGGTGTGGGAGTTTGTGGACTCTTGATCGGTTTGATTATTCTCAGCTCTGGATTTTTGTACTATAAGAAAACATCTTCTGTATACAGCACTGTAAACCAAGGTAAGGGCATTAATGCTAATTTAAATTATATTTTTTTGATTTGGTAACTATCAAAGTGTTGTTTCTGTCTGTTTTAACAGGTCAAGCAGTCAACAATGAGACAAACTTACCTGAAGATGGAGCTTTGTAGAAGCCTAAAATAAAACAACTGTTTTACCCTCCATGGTACATCTGTGTACATCTGTGTACATCTGTGTTTTACGGGTATATGGGGTTATAGGCAAGTGCTGGGAGTTGAATTTATATTTTGCTTATATCATTTAAGAGGTTTAAACTGAACACAGGCTTTTAGTTCATTTCTCAATGGAACAAGCATTTTGACCTCTTCTTTCTCTTATCAACTGTAATAAGCTTTAAATTTTTGTACCAGTAACTGTTTGTTTCTTTGTTTGTTTCTTTGTTTTTACTGTTTTCCTTGTTTCACAAGAAACATTCAAGCAAATATGAGAACAATTGTAAAGTGAAGCTGGCTGAATAAAAAAGCCCTCACACACTTTTGTTTCTTCTTTTTCTTTCTTACTTCTGCTTCATTTTTATCATCACACACACACACACACACACACACACACACACACACACACACACACACA